GTTGTTCTCTGGCCCACTAATGATGACCAAAATTTAGCCAACTTTCATGGCAATCGGCTAAGAAGTGTTAAACGCTTATCACCTGGCCTCGAGTAATTACACATGAAATTATGTCGGCAACAATAATTCGTTGTGGCATAATTCTCGGGAAATGGAAATTTATGCCTCCGTGTTCTTTGGACAGCTTCTTGGCCATGCTCAAAGCGCATTTATCGTGCAACATCAATAAATTCTCCCGAGGCAGAAGCCCGGCCAAAGAAAAGGAACAGACCAGCAATCGCAGGTATCAACATTTCATAATATTTACAATAAACATGCAACTGTGTGGAGCTCGAGCTGGAGCTGGAGCTGGAGCAGGAGTTGCAGCTGAAGATGGAGCAAGAACTAAAGGGGCTAAGGGATTGGGGTATGAAGTTGCTAACAGAGGAGGCAGTTTGTGGCCACTTTTAGCGCATCATGTTGCGTGAAATTTGACACTTTTGGCCGCTGGATGACGACACAAATTTTCACCGCATCTTGGCCAGACAGACGGGCAACATGTTGCATGTTTTTCCTTCGTTTTTTTTCTGCTTTCTGTTCATCTTGTTTATAGAATCCCTGGCACTCGCGGGGCTACCGAATTTATGTGCCTTTGTCATATTTGCCAGGCTCTTTTTTAAAGGTTCGCCTCGTTTTTGTTTTTTGTTTTTTATTGTGCGTTTTTTCTGTGTTTTGTGCGTTTGCTTAACAATAATACACAAATATGGCCACTGGCTGGGTTGTCAACAACTAACCCAAGGGCCAGTTAACCTCTCCACAAGCTCCATCGTCATCTCCTACTCCATCTCGTGGCCCGAACTGCAAGAGCTGGCTAAGTCTTTCGGCTTAAGCCAGGCCAAAAAGGCAAGGCTCATTGCATGTGCCATGCAAAACGCACACAATCAAGCGACAAATTGATCGCACTCCCAGATAGCGCCGGCTGTGGACAGTGGAGCACAAGGTTCTCAATCCTAAGGTTCCTGAGAAACTTTGCCTAATGAATTGCGAATCAAGAGTTTTATCTGTGAGAATATAAGTTTGGTTCTTTATTCAGTAGCATTTTATGTATGTTAATTAATTATTATTGTTATGACTTAAAGACATTAATTTAAGTATTAACCTTAATTTTGATCTTATACTTCCCATATTATATTCTTCTTTCTCGAAGCCTCTAATATTTCCTTGTCAATCATGATTTGTATCCACTGTGGCCAACCAACCGCTGGGTCTGCAAGCTTGTTTTCCTATTCCATGGCATTCATAGGCCTACCTACACAGTCTAGGAATATATCCGAGGTCCTTCTCTCAGTCCTCCCGCTGTAGCCAACGAGGTAACTAATATCTGTTGCAATTGCCAATGCCAATTTTCCTATTTAATATGCCACGAATTGACATGGGCCGTTGCCATTAAGCATTTGATATGACCAGGCCCAGAACCATTCGACCATTGGCCATGTTTGGAGTTGGGCGCTGGACATGTGATGACATTGCATGGGCCACAAGCAGTGGCAGATGCAGTTACGGTTGCAGTTGCAGTTTTCAGTTTATAGTTGCATCCAGTTTCCAGTGGCAGCCGTGCCTAATTTAATCAAATTAGCTGAGAAATGCAATGGAATGAATTTGTTCGTTCAGCCAGAGAGGCAGAAACTCATTACGTTAATCAGTTGATTGTGCGAATCTAAAACAAATTATGACAGAGTTGCATATGGCTGGGCATATGGCAATTTCTATAATTAATTCTAACCCCTCCTCTCTCTCTCTCTCTCTCTATCTTCATTTAAGCAAATGCAATTTGTGCAATTTAATTTCATTAGAATAATTCTAATTAGGGCAATGAGTTGTAGGTGCTATCACATCCGAACAATCGTTTGACTAAGCGCCAGTTCTCCGAATGGGATGCATTTCTGTTTGTGAGCGTGTGATAACGGAAATTTAATTGAAACTGTGGCAGCTTTTGTGAAATTATTGGACTGGCCAGAATGGTTAGAATGGCCGGAATGGCCAGAAAGCCAGGCCAGGCCAGGCCAGGCCAGCTCAGGAGCAGCCAACCAGCGCGAGAACCAATTACATTTAACAGCCGACTTGACCTGCCCCCGAGCTTCGACAACGACTCCAAAAACCCAAAACCCATACCCAATCCAAAACCGAATCCCCCATTGATGCGCTGGTGTCCAATGATAAATACGGCTAATGGAAGTTGCCCTTACAGAGATTATAATGTTTGTTTGCCATCTAAATTGAATTGCAATCGAGGCCCGGTATGCTCTTGGATCGGTATTAAAATTCATTTAAATCGAATCGAATGGTAGAAGCCATAACCTGGCTATCGCAGCTAATCATCTAAAGAAGTGTTTTGTGTGTGTGTGGCGGCAGTGTGTGTCGCCATTGTTGGGTGCACATTTCCAATCAGATAAACACGCAGTCCAAACGCACGAACTGAACTGAAACACAAACGGAATTACGAAACCAAAAAGGGAGAAGGTGGAGAAGGAGGAGGAGGAGAAGAAGGAGGACCTCCGCGGGTCAGGACAATGAGGAAATGGTCGAGGACGTGGTCGGAGGAGCATTGTTCCCTGGCTCCTCCTCGTCGTTGTCACTAATTAGTTAATGCATGACCAAATATTTGCTGCTGTCTTGTTTTGAACTCCAACCTTTCAGTGAGACAGAGAGAGAGGAGCCAGCACTCAGGCAAATTCGATTTCTATTGAACTGTTTAATCATTGATTTAATGCACTTAAATTGATCGGATAAGTATGAAGACTGTGGAGATAAACGCTGGAGAGATGACTAAATTAGTAGAGTGGTTAAGGTTTTAATGGGTCTTTAAGGAAGGAAGATCATAATAACACTGAATTAACCATTTAAAATGAGAAAGAACATACTATATGTTTCCTAAGATTATATATATATTCATATTTATATCAATATCTTATCTTATCTTCTCGAACTCTCATCCTCAAAACCAAAGTAAGCTATCCCAAGCATTTAATCATATCATAAATCCAACTCGCTGTTCCCTGTGACTTTAACTAATTAGTTAATGCAGGGTTCCCCGAGAAATATTTGATGGGACCAGCAGGGACAAGAGTTTTCCCCCCTAATAGACCTGCCCCCTCCATAGCCACAGTAACTACAACAACCCAATCCCGATTTCGATCCCTATCCCAACCCATGACAAAGACAAACCCATTGATTTACGTTCATATTTAGTGCGGTTTATTTATGTCGTTTGTTGCATGTTCCACCAACTGGTTTCAGGTGGCGTGCCCCATTATCATCCCAGTTGTATGTATGTATGTGTGTGTGTGTGTGTGTGTATCGGTGTGTGAATTGGTTTCCCATTGGCTGAACATATGCCCACTGCCACGCTTATCTGCGATGCTGATTAACTGATTTATATGGCTGGTCATTGCTTATGCATTGATCACCGTACTTTACTCTGATGAACTCGTTCGAAATTGGTATTGGAATTAGAGTAACAGTGGAGTCTCAGTTACCATTACAATTGACCCGTGACATGTGCGACACTTTTGCATGTGTTTTGTTTTTTTTTTGGTGGGGGATTTAGTGGGAGGGGGAGGGCTAATTTTCAAGACACCGGCTCGAATGACTTATTTTGTTTCAATTATATTGTAATTATATAGCAATTAGGTTTACCTTTTCGTTTTGCTTTGTTTCCAGTTAACTTTGCCGTAATGGCAGAGGACAGTGCCTAGCACGTTAAGCTCATGTGATGCTGACGAATCAGGTACATATGGCAAATGAGTACAGTAAGTTTCGGTGCTGTAAGGTGGATTTAATGGATAAGTTTAGTTATAAAGATGAAGATGTTAAGGCGAAGCATTCTAGTTTACAATTTTTGGATTTAAGGAGGTTTTTAGTACCAACTTAGTTTAGGTAGCTGTGGATCATGAACATAACTTGTCATCAATTATCGTTTCCTTTTCTTAGATATTAAGATATTTAGTCTAATGAGCATGTCTTTCATTCAGTAATAAAGCAAAGCAAAGCCCTTCCTGACTTACACTCCATTCACGCACTGTACAACCATAGAAATATATATTTCAATAACTGAACAAATCGGACCTGCTTGACTGCGTGGCCGAGCAGTGCCGTGCACTTAATTGCTGTCCCAATTATTGTAGAGCCCAGAGATATACCCAGCCGATAGGTTCGCATTTATTTTATTGTTAATGCAATTGGGAAAATTGATAACGAAGTAAGTTGAAACAAAGACCTTGATGCAAGGTGCACCGGCGGAAGCGGATGTTAGCCAACAAAGTCCTAATGGGGTCATCATTGCATTTTGCTCGACTGGATGCGGGATTAATGGCCAGTTAACACGCGTTCGTATTTGGAAGTTACTCCCGCAAGCCGTTCAACTATTCTATCACGCTGGTCATCGCTGTAAAACAAAAGACTTAGGCAACGAACTGTGTTCTTGTGGCATCAAATCACCAAGGCAAACAACAACACCAAAAACACCAGCAATTGTGTGGTATGAACATGCCATTTCACGCCTCCAAACAACTCATAATTCATGCGTTCAATGGCCAGCAACAAATGCTGCATAACAAATGACCAACATAGGCCGAGGAATAAACCAAACCAAAAATACTTTTGAGGAAATCAAGGCACGTTTCTGGTGTGTAGGAAAGACGCATCGAAATTTAAAGAGCAATTCATGAGAGCATAAATGGCCATTATAGAGACATCATTGCGGGCCCCGGAGTCTCGATGGCTGCTTATTGGATTTATTACCAAACCAATTTCGATTTTCTGTCCACTCATCTGAAAGCAATTAATCATCGCCGGCGGAGCCTTCAGTTACCGTTCCTCAAATTAGAATCGTTTTTGTGTTAATTTTTTTTCTGTCTGTATTTTTATGTATATTTTTCCTTTTTTGTTCTTCATAAATTATTTTTATTTATTTTTGTGATTTTTTTTTGTTATGAATTTTTGTGGTGATTGCCATTAAATTTAATACAATTTTCCATCATTTTTAGGTTTCGATTTTAAATAAACATTATCTTTTGCTTTGATTTATATATATTCAACTATCAATATGGCCAAATTACAATACATTTATCGTTTACACTTAGCACATAATACATCATATTTATATATATATATATATAGTTATATTCTGTTTATACCTCAGACATAAATTAGGTTAGGACTAAACTGGCTTTATACACACAACTTAGGGGATTAAATTTTAATTTTTTTTCGTTTTTTGTTTTTCTTTCATCTTTTGTTTTTACTATAATTATACAAAAATTGCTAACAAATGTATTTTACAAATTGCCTTTAACATTTAATTTAATTAAATTTATTACATTAAGTTTAAGTCTATGCATAGTTAAATGTTTATGTGTGTATATTTTTAAGACTTAGGCATTAACATTGAACATTTAAGTGTGTTTGTTTTTTGTTTTTTTGTTTTTCATTTTTAGTTTTAAAAGTTTGACGGCGGCCTTTGCTTTCAATCAGAAACTGTTTTCTCCTTCTTTTGTTTTTTATTTTAATTTTATTTTACATTAGCTAATGGCGCGCCTTAGTGAAGTTTGTTAAGTGTAATATTTATATATAAATTTTACTTTTTGTTTATCACGTCTGTTTTGTTTAGAGTCTAAGAATTTAACTAGTTTACAGTAGGCATACGCTCTAAAGTATTTTTTGCAATTTTCAATTGCATTTTGCGAATTAGGACAAACACCTCCAGCAGCTCCTCTTCTACGCTTCACCTTAAAACTAACTTCTTAATCTTTTTTTTCATTTTTACAAAAATGTTTACTTTTGGACGTGCATTGTAACTGTTTTTCTTTTTTTGTTTTAAGTTTTGTTTTTTATGGTTTATAATAATTTTTAGTTCTCTGTGTGCTTGATTCTCGTTTTCTGCTATATTTACACAATAAATATTTATGAAATTTCCCCTTGGTTTTCCCTCGTTTTCCTCGTTTTTATGGCAGTTCATAAAGCACAATTAAATACGCTGAATTTGCGGCGAGAAATTAAATTAATTAAGCGAAATATGAAACATAAAACAAAAACAAAAAAAGTAGAAGAGAGAGAGAAAAACCTATACACAGAAACACTCACAGAAAAGCCATAAAGGAAAAATAAAATAAAATTAATGTGCAGCCCTTTAATTAATTTTAATGGGGCTTTTGTTATTGCTGCCGCAGCAGCAGCACCAGCAGCAGCACCAGCAGTGGCAGCAACAACAGCGACAAAGCTTAAATAATTAAAAATTGCACGCAATGTTTACAATTAGGAATAGCCAGCGCTCGTCCAGTTGGCCCACCTCCACCCCCATACTCCATCATCATCATATATATATATATATATATTTATTTATATATATATTTCTCGTTGGGATGTCAAGGGCTTGGTGCCACTGTCAATTGCTGGCCAAGGAGTCCTCAGTTTGGCATTGTGTTTTGTCTGGTTTTTATTTTGTTTGTTTGTTGGTTTTGTCTCGATTTATTTACTGCCCGATGAAGTCGATTCGGGCGTGGGTAAGATCGCGGCACTCTAACTGAACAGATTGTTGTTCAAGTTGTTCCCGCTCCATCACGTGTAGTCAGTGCGCCAGGTGCCCTGCAGGAGAAAAGAGAAGAAAGATCCAAGTGGAACGTTAGTAAAAAGTCAGAAATTGCAATCCACATAAAAGCTAGCACAGGGAAAAATCAAAGTATTTCAAGAATCTTAAGTTGGTTTTAGGTCTAATGTACGTCTAAAGTGGGCTTAGAGTCCAATCTCTTTTCTCCCTGTGCCATAAAAGCTTTTCTCAAAAAGCTGCTAATAGCATAAAAATTCTCTTCTACTCACCATCGAACTGAGTCCCAAGTGGTAGGGCTGCGAATGGGGCACCACCGCTCCGCCGAGAGAGCCGGCGGTGGAGAAGCCGCCCTGCAATCCGCTTGAGGCACCCAGAGCGCCCATGCCGCCGGTATACCAACTGCCATGCATATGCGCATGTGCCGGATGCAGTCCGCTCGAGAGGTGTCCATGTTGTGCTACAAAAAAGAGCGAAAACGAAAATGGAGAAAAGTTAGTTTGGTGTAAAGGGCAGATTTCGAACGGGGGCTTAATGAGAGATGCTTACCCATGGAGGCCGAGAAGCCGCCGCCGAATCCTTTCGAGGGATCCAGCGGCTTGAAGTCACCCATGCCCAGGTGACCACCAATTGGCAGGCAGCCGCCGCCAAGACCCTTCTTCTTCTTGGACTTGGAGCTCAGCTTGCGATTACGCGTCTGGATGCCCTCCTTTTTCATGGTGAGCGGACGATTGACCTGGAAGGAAAATGGGAAAATATTTTTGGTGAAAATTTGCTTAAATACACGAGGAGAAATAATATTTTTGCTAGCTATTTTGGCTTTAAATTTGTAATTTTAAGTTAAAAAGGAATCAGAAGTTCAGTCTAAACACTTTGCTAATGACTTAATGAATACACATTTCTATAGAAAATGTTCCTTAAATGCTTAGCATTTTCCTGCGTGTAGGTGGAAAATCAATAAAGTAAAAGCGAGCCGAAAAAGAGGGCTAAAATAGTCAGCGACTGACCACTAAAATGGGTCAAATTTATGCAAATTCATGGACCGGAAATGCCGCTAGCTGCACACGCTGTCTGTGTGAGACAGGGGTGTATATACATAAGTATATATGTGTGTGTGTGTGTCTGTCCCTGTGTGAGTGAGTGCAACCGGGAAGTGAAAATGAAGTATTACAAGCATTTCTACACGATCAGATAAGCGACATTTGCGAATGCGATTAGTTGGCGCTGATAGCGCTCCCAACGGCACCCGGGTAATGTTTTTTTTTTAGTTTATTTTTACTTGCAGCATTTGCCGCTGCTGCTGCTGATGTTGCTGTTGTGCTGCTGCTGCTGCTGCTGCTGCTGCTATTCCCTTGGCCATTGTTGGGCTCTCTTCATATGCAACTCCTTATCACTTGCGAACATCTAAGCGGCAGCATGCGCTTCATTGCGCTACAATTACAATATTGGGTTACCCATTCCCAGCAGAAGTAGCAGAAACAACAACAACAACAACAGCGGCATGCAACATTAGCAACAAAAGCCGAAGGGGAGGCCGAAAAAATGTAACATTTACAAAGGACCAAGGGCTACCTGGGCGTGAATTACGACATTGTTGGTGCCTCTTTTCCTATTTATTTCTTTTCTTTTTTTTTTCTTTTTTGGTTTTTGATTGTTCCCTCGAAAAAGCAAACACAGGGAAATTGTTAAATTGCCGAGCGAGCACTTTGAAGAGCCGAGATTATCCGAGGGGTTGGTTTAATGATTCGACGACAAAAAAACATATCACTTACAATTGCAATATATATTCAAAAATAAAAAGGAAGCAAGCTGAAATCCCGCTGAGGAGATGGGAGGATCTCGGGGGCAGCCCACGTAATTGATAGTCTCTCTAGCGTTTAGCGCAAATTGCGGCAATTAGCAACTCAACGGCAACGTTGCAACGGCAGCTGCGAATCTTTCTCTCTGTTGAGCTTTAATTGATATGCAGCAACAAAGCATAAAGTTGTTAATGCCCAGGCCTAGCTCATTAAGGAATTCAGAGGAAAGCCCCCACAAGGGGAGCAAACAGCAGCCTTAGCAGATTAACTTTTTTATGCATAAAAACTAAATCGAGCGTACAGGGAACACGCGCCGCTGCAGTTGACTGGCAACTTGACAGCCGTCGGTACAGCAAACGGGAGGCACTGCATCAGCCCACCCACAGACCACACCCATAAGGGATATATACGGAAGATCTTAAAGGGATAAGATGAGAGAGAAAGCGAGAAATCTGGAGACGGCGCCAGTCACCGTTAGGTGGTAACCTTTATGATTTCTTATATAGTTTTCCCTTTTTTATTGTCATCCCAACGCCACAGGACATTGCCCAGCAGGTCATCAAGGACAGGTCAGCAAGGTTGACCGGTTGACCTGCCCAACAAGTGTCTCATTTGCCGTTAATTAACATGCTGATTCTCCAAGATATACACTTCGATTTCAAGGAACTCCCGAGCAGACACGCGCAGATGCCAGATAACAGATCCCAGATATAGCGAAAGCATATCCAGAAAAAAGTGGAAAATGCTGATATACAGGAACGGGATTACAGTGGTTGTGGATTTTCCACAAGGCTACAAATTCTAATTTTATAAAATACGATGACCAAATATATCATTATAATGTTCAGGTTTTCATCTATTAGATATCAATTTCTTTCAAGTTCCCTAAGCATCACTGCTCTAATTGCCCTTAGCCATGCCCCACTGTACCGCTACGCCAAGTGCAACTGCAACATTTCCATAAAATGTGCCAATCACTTTGGTTAGAGGCCCACACAGGCGGCACACAGCTCGAAATGACAAACGAATTGAATTGAAATGAACTGCAGGCCAGAAAAGCAACCAAAGCCACTATGGCATACAAAAAGCCTAGAAAGAGACGGCTAAAGAGGTAGTGAAAGAGAGAGCTAGCTAGATGCAAGGGGTAATGCAGACAGACCGACAGACAGACAGAGACAGGCAATGGCAAAAATGCGCGCTGATTGGCATCTTATCGAGATGGGCCACTGTCCAATTGAAGGAAAAATTTTTGCAAAAATAAATTTCGCCCGTTTTCAGCCACCCAAAGTGCATTTTCTCGTATGTCGTATGTCGGAAAAGTTTTTACTTTGTGGCAAATCAGATTACAGAATAAATAGAGCAAATGTTTATGTGTGTGTAGGTGTGTGTGTGTGTGTGTGTATTGGTTTGTTTGTTTGTGTTTGCTGGCTCTTTGATATTTGCCTTTTATGGTTGGGCTCAATTAAAAATATTTCGCCTTTCGCCTTTTGCCGATCGCCGATTGCCGATTGCCATCGAAATGCAGCCGCCTTTGGTTTGCAAAGTGGCCACAAGTGGCGGCCGCAACTTAATTAGTTTGCCACACAGCGGCGGCGGCACAGTGGGCCAGACAGGTGGCCCATCACTTAAGGGCCACTGACATGTAAATGTGCCAAAAGTTCAACCGCAAAACTCATTAAAACTTGACTGCAGGCAACACGAAACAAAATGAAAAAAAGGCAACTCACAAACCAAAAAAAAAAAGGAAGGAAAAACAAGGAGACACCAAGTTAGGGAAAACCATAAGTTGGTGGGGCGAAAAACTTCGAGCTTATCACGCGAAAAGCGTGGCTAATGAATATTTAATAAGAGATTTTGAGGGGTTGCCGCTGGTTCACTGGATGGCTAAACATTATTCAATTGAATGCAGTTAGCCGGGTAGTCGATTACATAAATTAACTCTGCCAGAGAAATGGGGGAGATCTTGTGCTAGCATCCTGCCACGCGTTGAACATAACTGGAAATCTGGGGAAAGCTTATCGCATTTTCACAGCCAAACACCAGACGCTTATCTCACGCAGGGTGGGTGATGTTTGATGGGTGGTTGGTTGGTTTGGCTAACTGGCATCTTTAAATAATCATCGGGCATTCATCATCACGAGGGGGTAACAATACAGCAAGTAGCAACCTGCTGCGGCAACAAATGGTGAAGCTAAACGGCAGTCAACCCCCTGGGGCCAGACGGAAAACGGAAAAGGAGGCGGGCTTTTCAGACACTTCATTTTTGTCACATTTAATCCGGGTGCGTGCGCTTCCTGTCCAAACGAGAAACACTCGCCGAGAGTTGTCCGATTACCCCGATGTTAAATGTGCCGTTAAATCGCCCAGATCGAAAATCAATATATACAGAGGGGAGATGCTTTTGCTGGCTAATAGTTCCGCTGACCAATGGAGTGGATCTGCACTGGCAAAAAAGAGGGGATTAGGGAATGGAAAAGGGGAGAACTTCTGAAGTTCAAAAAGGGAAAAGTAACTAGACTTTTATGGTAACTTTTCTATTAAATCTTCCACTTTCTATAGTTTTGTTTTAACTGTAGTCATAAGCAAACTTCAAAGATACTTACATTGTGCAGCTTGTAGTATAATCCGCAGGCGTTGCACACTGGCTCGCCACTGGCATTTCGTCGCCAAAGGGTTGTGGTTGTGGTCTTGCAATTGGCGCAGGATGTGCCCGCCCTCTTGGCCGCACTCTGCAGCGATTGCAGGGTCTGCAAGTAAAGGAAATAATAGAGAAAAGAGTTAATTAATGATAAAATAATAGTTTTCCTATATGTATTATCCACATCCGATCATGCTGCCATGGCTAATTGAACAGCGCCAAAACTAACGCACAAAAGTCAGCAACAAGAACAAGAAACTGCTGCCCCTCCCTTACCCAACTCCCTCCCCTCCTACCCTAAGGAAAACAAAGTTGCTTAACACACTGGCCAACAACATTTTTTTGATGGCATACCAGAAAAAAAACCAAAAAGAATAAGAGTTGCTGTGCCCCAAACGCAGACGGGGAGAGACACAGAGCTGTGGCTGCCTTGCGTTCGACTTGGGTTAACAGCAGCATCAATTCATTAAAATGACAATTTTTACAAAACTGCCCAAAAACAACAGCAGCAACAACAACATCAACGACGACGGTCACAGCTATAACAACAACAGCAACAACATGCTGGGATCATGTCTGTGCCACGCTTAAATTTCCACGAATTGGCTACAAGAACCGAGAATCGAGCCCAGAGATTCGAGAATCGAGAACCAAAGAGCCCCAAAACCCCAGCCTCTGTTCCTGATCCCTCCCCCCCACATTTCTGTAGTACAGACTTTGTCTGCGTTTTGGTCTTCGTTATGGCATGGCCCCCACCATTTGTGCCCCCTTCTATAGGTACACTGAAAGTAAAGGTAGATATTAAGGGATATTTAATAAGGGAACTAAAATTAAGACAACTTTCTGATGCATTTTAAAGTAAACCTCTTCGGGAAGCTTCCCTGTTTTTTGGAAACCTTTTTCTATATAAGACCCCTAGTATTTTTCCCAGTGTTGCCTTCCAGTTTGGCTTGTTCATGCTGCTGGTACAACACATGGCTACGAGGCCTTAAACTGGCGTTGATCATGTTTGACTTTGATTTTTAATTGTTGCCTCTGCCACAAGGGAATCGCCTTCGTCTCCAAGAGAGACTTTGGCTTTCGACTTCGATCCGTAGCTTGATCTCGATCTCGATTTGGATTTGGATCTGTTTTGGTTTTTGGCTGTGCCTTGGCACTGCTCTGGCGTGTCTCACCTGTTCCCGATGTTTGGCGATTAACATAAATCAGAGGTCATATGGCAAGGGAGTCGAGCAGTGTCTGCATTTTAGTTTTTCTTTTTTTGGTGGCACTGTCTTGTGTTAACGAGCTTGTAACAATTTCTGCAGACAGGGCGAGGAGTGGAGTGGCGAAAAATGCCATCGCAAGATGCGAAAAGTGAGAAATTCAAAATTCATTTCAACGCCTACGAGGGGCGAAGATGCTGGCCGATAAACTGGAAGTTTTGTGGTAATTATGCTGCAGTCTCCTTTTCTGTGGTGGAACGACAACTTGGCCGAAATGCTTAAGCGTATATAAATTAAGTTGTTAACATGACAAAGCAACAAAACAGTTCGAAGAGTTGCAGAAACCAAAAAGGAAGCAACAGCAGGATCAGAGTGTTGCACATTCCATTCCCCCCATTCGGTGGGTGTTTGTTCAACTTCTGTTTTGCGACCAACAGTGTCACTTCGTTTTGGTGAACTGACGTAAGTTGAGTTAACATAACATCAAGTACAGTGAGTACAACAATCACGGCTCCAACAATCAAGCGGCAAATCACATAAATCAATGTCAGTTGGCCGGCATGCAAAGAGCGAGCGAGATGGAAGTAATTGTTGGCAGAGGGCAGAGGAGGGGTGGGAGGGCTTTTGATGGGAAAATTGACAAACTGTCAGACATTGACAGGCGTTTGGGGTTTAATTGAAATGCAAAAAGCGCAAGCGCCAAAACCAACAAAAGCAACAAAGCCAACAAAAGCAAACACACAAAACAAGATGGCGCTTGCGATTAATAAACAAAGGCAAAAAGGCAGACAAGGAAGGTTTCATGTGCAGCAAAAAGAGGCAAAAGAAATGATAAATATATCAAAAAAAAATAATAAAATATTATTTGATATTTTATAAGAAGGAATGTTGATGTAAAAGCAGGTTAAGCTAAGCTAAAAGTTTCTTTTTCCATCTTCAAAAACTTCCTAAGCTTTAACTTCCTGAAAATATCTTTATCTCTTAGCAAAAATGTTAATTAAATACCCAATAAAAAAGCATTTAATATTATAATTAACAAAATTCAAATATTAACTGCTACAATTTTGACCTCTATTGTTTGTTTTTGTATATTTCTCGCTTAGCTTTGTGGCTTTCAGTGTTTAGTTTTCAGTGTTGCGACCATAAATTGTGATTTATCAATGCATGACAAAATGCGTTTTGCTTTGTTATTCTCCCAGCTGTTAGCTATCTCTTTCTTAGCTCGTATACCACTCTCCTTTGCGCGTTTGTTAAGCCCACATTTGACACCTTTGGCTGATTTATATTTTTTCAAAAATAAAGCTCACAAAATGGTTGACGCGTCTTCTTTTCGCCTTTTTCTCTGATTTTCTTTATCTTTGAGATTTTCCTTTGCTTTGCTTTTGTGATGTTATGCAAATTTCGTTTTCATTTCACACACAAAAACACACACACTCACACACAGGCATTTAAATATTTAATTGTAAGTGAAACACTCAGGAGGAGAGAGATTCCAGAGGGGGGGAGTGGAGGAGTTAAGGCTAAGTAAATATGTACCAAGTAAATAGATTTTCCCCCCATCTACACTGCTATTTATTGCGCAGCTTTTGTGCGCTCTCTTTCTGAGTCCAAGATTCCGGTGGCAATGCCCTTTGCCATCTGAGATACGAGAAGATGCTGCTGGTTGGGGGTTAAAAGTGGGGGGTGTTAAAGCCGGGGTAAGGACGAGTAGACGTTATAGCCCTATCTCAGTGTAACATCTTTCACTTGGGGCAGCTGCAGCGAGCTTCTTTTTTGTATCTTTTACCCCCCTTCACTTGCGACTGTATCTGTATCTGTGTATCTGTGTGTTATCTAACAAAACATTCATTAAATTTTTCGCAGTCGTTTTGCAGTAGTCTACCCTTAGCCTGGCTCACAGCGCATGGCCGCCCCCTCAAACCGGGGGTTGTTTTGGAGCCACCCACTCGCAATGCTACACAGATATATATATATATATATATATAGTATATATCAAGGGAAGATAGCTAAAGATAGCGGGCAGAAAATTTCTATATCTGATGCTGGGGCAGGAAAAAAATTGTGGGGACAAAATGGGGTTTTGTTGAGTTTGCGTCTGGGAAATGGCAGTTACATTCGGAACGGACTCTCTGACTGTGAAATTTAATTTAAAAATTCAAATTTTATGCTCTCTTTTATTTTCTGGTTGTTACTTTTGTATACATCATCCTGTTTCTGTTCCTATTTCCCTTTAGAAAGAGTAAGAAAGAGAGGAAGGGGAAGGTTAAGGGGTGACTCAGTTTGCGGCTTTCCCTGCAGCTAATTTGACTAATTAAAACATCAGCTTAACTCATTTCCATGCTCAAGCTGCGACCTGGCACGAAACTGTTGCTAAAAATCACACCTGCCCCTGCAGAGTGAACTTCGGTTTGCTTGGTTATAAAAAATCAATAAAATGTTATATGGCCAGCAAACAGAACAAGCCATTAATGTCGCTCATTAATGCTGCTCAATGAATTTTACGATCCAGACTTGGGCTTTTACTGGGGAGGTTTTCAAATAGACGCTTGTGGCATGGAAATGCTAAAATGTCAACGACGGGCCTTTGTTGTGAATTTTAAGCAGCAACAGTGACAATGTTTGACCCTAAACATGGAGAAATCGACAGGTGAATCAGGTAAAAGTGGGTTTAGGAATGTTAAATTTGGCATGAAATTCTGGCAGTTTTCTTCTTTAATATTTAGTAAAGTGTATACTTTGATTTATTAACACATCTCAGCACTTTTTCGCAGTGTAATGACTTGCATTTAAAGCCAACCTTTGTTGCAATAGACTGACAACCCTTCATACCCCGCTTTCTAGTAACCTTAACTCCCATTGGAAGGCATGAAAATCGTCATTAATATTTGTCACTGGCCATTGAATGGGGGGCAGCGCGAGCCCAAATAAATTATGGAGCCGGCCGAGAGGCAAGGTGGAGCCTTGTGGTCAGTGGCGGCTGGCCAAAATGAATGTGCCCTAGACACGCGCACCGCCCTTCTGTAACCACCAAACCCCCCCAACTAACTGCGTGTTCGTTGTCTGTAAATAAAAGGAAAAAGGGTTAGAAAATGCACAAGCAACCCTTTTCTGGCTGGGGGTGGTGTGTTTCTGAGCTGTAACCTGTGCAAAATTATGCATTTGCATATTAAACAGTCACCATAAATATTTTTTTTTTGGTTGGTAGAAAGAGAGGCCCAGAGCTAAAAGCGAAAGCCGCTGAATACCCGCTTAACAAGCTTAACAAAAAAATAAGTTAAAATACAAAAAAAAAAGAAGAAGTTGATAAAAATGAGAAGAAAAACAGAAGAGAAGACAAAAGGCTGGCTTGGCCTTAATCAGCGGAGGGCAACCCTTTTGGCCGGGCAACTGTGGCAACATTTGAGCCTTCGTTTGAGCCCTGGTTTGAGCCTCTTTCATTATTATTATTGGCACGCCCCGATTTTTGCTGCGTTGCGTTGCGCTTCGTATCGTTAATTTTTAATTGATCTGCGCGGCTGCATTCCCTTCGCTTATATTTTTTTGTATTTTTTATTTTTGCGCCGATCAGGTTCGTCAGCTTGCTTTTGTGTTGCCCCAAGTGCATTTTAATAACATTAGGCCCCCACTTAACAAGATCTCCTAGCGCCCCAAAATAAGAGTAACCCGAAAAATAAAAAAAAAAAGAAGAACAAGCTTAATGCCCGCGATTGCGTATACGCCCCATTGGCTGGGGAGGAGGACGATGATGATGATGTTGATGTTGAACAGGCCAAAAGGAGTTACGTACATTGAACTCTCCCTCTCTTTCCTTACTTCCAGCCAGTTATCTCTTTTTCTCGTGATTTTATTTTCGATCTGCTTTAGTTTTGATTTGGCTGTCGTTCGATTATCGATCGTCTGCCCTTCTGCATTTAATTTTTGAACGTCACAGCCTACAATCGCTTCGATTTTCCCACGGGGAACCCGAGATGCCACAGCTGGCCCCAAATACGAAAAAAAATGTGTTAATTAGTTTTCCCCTCACTCGCTCTCTAACTCTTTCGTTTTTTTTAAACTGCCATCTCTTTTTCAGTTTATCAGTTTCTCAGTGGGTTGGCCATAACACTGTGTTGACCCGCTGCGATCGTTTAAGCCAGCTTTATGGCCGTTAACTGTGTTGGCTGTTTAAGCTGTTAGTGTTGAAATACGCCCGCGGATTAATAATTAATTAAGCTCCATTCTCCAAATGCATTCATAAGCGATTGTGTCAAGTGTTGATAAGTTTATTGTTGCTAACTATTTCTAACTATTTAGCGATAGACAGTGAGGCAAAGCGGCATGCAAAGCGGCATGTGACATAAGCCAATGTAATAAGCGTAAGAATAAATAATTTTGTAACTTTTTTTGTTGTTGCTGCCATGACGTGGCCGTCGTTTTGTTCAATTTACTGTGTGAAAACTCGCATAAATTAAGCAAACAGCAACTGAGGCATAAATATTATGCAAAATGCAAGCGCCGAGTCTCGCCCCCTTTTGGCAAACAGCCTCCCCCATTCTCGTCCTCTCCTGATTATATAAGTCACGATCGGTGCTGCGATGAGCAGCTGCCTGTTGACTGCGATTGACCCCAGCTACAAAGTTTTTCTTGTTCTTTGCGGATTTGCGGCTTTTAAACATGGCTTGGCAATTAGCTATAGACATTAAGTGTTTTTCCAAGGTGTAGGCAATCGGAAATGTTAGTTAGTGGAAAATCAAATGGGAAATGATTCTATAACTCCCTATGCCTTACATTTGCCAACTGCACTATCCGGGCAATGTGACAAATGCCATTCAAGGCTGGGGCCTAAAAAGGCTTGGCTAGGTTTTATTTTTTTTTCTGTTATTAGCAGGGCCAGCCTGGCGGCTAAAAGCGAAAACAAAACGAAACGTTAACGCTTATAAAAGTTTTCGGGCCTTATAATTAAATGCAATTATTGCGACGCCAGCGGGCTGCTTAGCCAGAGTTCAGCAAAACAACAAAGGAGCAGCAAAGCGGCGGCGGAACAACTGGAAAACATATGTAAGCGAACGGGGCCGGGTACTCGGACTGGAAACTTCCAACTGAAAACAGAAAACTGAAAACCGAAACTGAAACTGAAACTCAGTTGCGGGCTAAAATACATAAATTAAAAATTTGCATTGTTCTGTTTTCAAGCTTTGGGGTATCGAAGGAGGTTCATACAACACACACACACACACACACACACACCATACAACATACAACATACAAAAAGAGAAGTTTAGCGGTGGAAGAGTAACGACTTGTTGACTGTTTTCATACAATTCGGAAATTTAATTAAAGGCGGCCCCAAAGCAGACAATGAGGACCGGTTCCCCGCCCCCTTTTCGGTTTTGTGTTTTTAGCTGCAGGTGCATCTGAAACGATATGCAAAAATCCGAAACAAAACTTGACCCTCGCCTCGCCACTCGAAAGATCAATACAATTGCCACCCAAAGAGTTTCGGGGCCAGTTCTCAGTTCTCAGTTTTCAGTGATTTTCAATGGTCAATGGGCCCTCGGCGAAGGCCGAGTCTTCAGAGAGCTACAGAAAAAAAAAAGAAACACAATTGAATTGCATTTCAAGCAGCCAAAAGCTTAAAGGACATTTGAAGTTGATGGGCAGCATCCTGTGCCATTGCCACCAGAGAGATACAAAGAGAAAGACAGAGAGAGAGAGAGAGAGGGGGAGAAGAGAAAGAAGAGTCTTGGTCCATAAGTCAGCTGAGTGCCACATAAATTTTAATTTGTTGCATATTTTGTCAACGAAAAAGTCGAACGTTCGATCTGCGAGGAGTTCGGGTGACTTGGCCAACTTGGCTGACTGGGATCCAGCTGTGAATTTCTTGGGAATTCCCCTACGTCAGCGGGGACCAGCGGGGATAATAATGGTTTATTTATGTTAATGTTATGCAATCAAAACGCATACGATTTAAATGCCAATAAAAAATCAACGCCGAGCCACGCGAAGGCAGTGTTTAACAGTTTGTTTGTTTTCCTTGTGGCCGTGTTGTTATGCTTGTTGCCTGCCTTTTTACGCATCTTTAATAGACCAATTTTTCGTATGGTTAGCCTCTCTCTTCTCCTCTCCTGTCCTACTCTTTCACGTTCGCTGCTTAAGTCTTTCGTTTCGTTGTGGCGCCACAAAACGAAGAAAACGAAGAACCCAAACCTGACCGCGACAAGGTTACAGATATTTTCATAGTTTTGTTGAGGATCCAGGTCGATAAAAACCATAGTCCAGCCCCCCCTCTATCTGCCTCTCTAGATAACCCACACAGAAACTGTGTTGCTGGCTGCTGTCTGATTATGTTTTTAGTGCGCTAAGTGATAATGATGATGCACCTCGATCGTTATCACAACAGCCAGCATCCAAATCGAAAGCATTTTTCCCATACCATCCATACTACCCGTTGCCCAATCAAGAAACGTAAAGAGTTTCTGGTTTCCCGGAATCGTATTATGACATTTGAGAACTTTCACGCTGGCTTTTATGGCCTTTGGCGACAGAAACGTGGCCCAAGATTGATGCTCATGTGCAGCGATTTCCCAGGAACTTTAAACCCCCCACCCCCATCATAACCCATTCCCATTCCCCCCCAATACAGTTGCTGAATTTATTAGTTAATTTGATCGAATGTGTGGATGTTTAGCCCAGCGGGTTAGTATTTAGTATCTTTTCTAGTATCCCCAACTTACCAGTCTTCGCTTTGGCTTGATCAGGGGTCGATTCTGGCCGTTCATTTTGTAGTACAGGCCACAGGCGTTGCACAAATAGTGTCCCGTTCCGTCGCGTCGCCACAGTGGCGTCGATGTGGCGCCACAATTCACACACTCGCGTCCCTCTGCAAAAATAGATATGCAAAAATATTTAATGGAGTGCCTTATGGGTCTTAAAAGCTATGATTCGTGTTAGAGTGCAATTAGAAAATAGTTAGTTAAGGTGCTTTAAAAATGGGTTGCTTAGTTAGTTAAAGTTTAAGTTTTAAGACCTTTTCTTTCAGTTTTAAGTTGGAAAACATGGAAAAATGTGACCTGAAAGATGCCATAAATGAGATATTATTTTTTTTTTCCGTGTCGCATTCTTGTGGCCGTTTGTGTTGGCGAACTTTCTTGGGGCACTGTCTTCCGCACATTTGTATGGGTTAATGTTAACCCAAAGCGCGCGACAACAACATGATGCACAGCAGCAGCAGCAGCAGCAGCGGCAGCAACAACAACATCATCGGGTAAGGGCAACATTTTTCAGCTGTTTCTCAGTCATTTTGATGTCTTTTGTTTTTTATGCTGTATTTTTCCTTAGTTTTTTTCTTGGTTTTAACATTTTTTTTCTCTTTTTTTTTTTGGGTTGCTGGGCAAACGCATGGAAGCGGAAATGATGGATTCGCTGGGGTCGGCTATGTTTAGCCCCGTCTCTTTCTCGTGACCGGCTTCCTTCTCTTTCTGGCATTGCCTCTGCTGACTTTACACATTTTAATTAAGCAGCAACAGCGACAGCGACTTCGTTCTAGTGACTGCAGTTTGGTCCGTCCGCCCCTCTCTCTTTCCAACTGCAGGCTAGGCTAGCCCTCTTTATCGCACTAACTGTAAGTCAGCCTCATTTGAATAAGTTTAGTCATAATTTGTAAGCAGAGTTGATTTGACCCGAGGGAGCGAGATGAAGTTGCAAATGTAACGCGTTATTAACGTTCCATATTACAGTTGCCTTCTATGGAGTTGGGCTTCATGGGTTTTCTCTTTTCCCTTCCCCACAGCACCCACAACTTTTCCTCAACTCATTTAATGACGCCACTAAATGGGCTTCATTATTTCGGTATTTTTGTGTGTTTAATGCTTGAAGTCTGTTTGTTGTTCGTTGTTTGTTTGTTGCTTTTGAAATTGAAATTTAGTCATAAAGTCAGTTAGTCACTCCCCCGAAAAAAGCAGCTACCACCTCCCATTAGCTATGCTAAAAAGAAAACTGAAAGATTTAACGCTACTCTTTTTGGTTTTGGGGAAGCTCTGGCATAATTAATTAAGCCAGCCTTTTTACATGGCCACATGAGCATAACTTTTTATTGAATATTAGCCAAAGGCACACCCAGTCAGAAAATAAAAGCAGGGATCTCATTAAGTGCGTTTGTCAACCGGTCGCCTGCTGAAATGCCATTAGGGGAATTCCAGTTGCGTTTTGATGACAGAAACGGGCTTTATATTTCCTTCGGGCTCACGTGATTTAGTTCACGCAGCCATTGTCACACGTGTCCTGTGGATAGTCCTGTCTTCTGGCATGCCAGGCATTTTGTTCTTAACCTTTCAAAGAAATTAACTAAAACGCTCTGCGTGTTTTTTGCCCCACACCAAAGGGCCAGCATGTGGTCAAGTAATCTCTTTTTGGTTTGTTTTTTTCCTGTTTTTTTGGTCAACTGCCTTAGGCGCGTTAAATAAACAGTTCATTTGTTTCCATTTAATCGCAAGTTTGCTCTGTCTTGCTTGATTTTTGTTTGGTTTTTATGGCACTTTTTTAATTGCCGCAGGGCGTGTGTTTTTTTCTTTCTTCCTTTGCTGCGTAAAAGTGCCGCCAATCAGTGGGGCAACACCCACTGAATTAAAGTTGCATAAATTATGGCTGAGAGAAAAAGTTAAGTTTCTCCAGAAATGGCAAAGTTCTCTTATTTTTAGCCATAAATTTTCACCTGCCACATGCATATTTATGCCTGGCAACATCTGTCTTCGGTTTGCACCTCGAACAGAAGCCGTTGAAAAATTGAAAACTTTATGCATTTATTAGTTTGTCATAAAGCAGAACAACGGAAGGCCATGCATTTAGCATAAAAGGAGAACTTGCCCCATTTGCCGGGTTGCATATTAAGCCATAAAGTGTGGCCAACCATTGTTGGGGTTTTCTTTTCTTTCCTTTGGCTTCCCGGAAAGTTGCGGTAATACAGACTCTGGCTCTGCCTCAGCCAATCGGAGTTACCACTCGGCAGTTAATAAATCAAACGTGTTAATGATGTTTTTACCCTACGTGCCCACTTTTGACAATACCACAAAAAAAAAACAGAAGAAGGCAGCCAAGTTTGGCCGAAATTGAAAGGGAATACAATGATCCCGAAACTGAAGTTGGCTGCTGCGCACGCGCACTGGGAATTCTTGGGTTTAACTACATTTTGATACGACTTCTATTTATAGCGATCCTTATGGCCCTCCTCTCTCTCTCTCTGTGTGTCTTTTTTATGGCCATCAGGCATTTGTTTTAGATTTTCCCTTGGCTTTGTTTTGGTTTCAATTTGCCCTCCAGTCTTGTGGCTTGTCCCTCCTCTGTTTTTATTTATTTGTGTTTTTCATTTTTCCAGCAAGAGACACACGTAGCAGGTTGGTCTATGATTTAGTAGCCTGCTTATAACTGTTTTCCACCTACCTAACCCCCAGCCACAAACCCCATCCACTGCTTACATCATCTTCTTCTGTGGTCCATGAGCCGGAGTCATCATCATCTGGCTGTAATTTCCTGGAAATTTGTGCACACTTTGGTATTTCTTCGTCGCCGTTTGTTTTTTTTTGTTTTTTTTACGGTGTGACATTGTCTGGGTCCCAAAATAAAAAACCTCGAACCCGAATCCGAATTCGAATCCCATTCCGAACCCAAAAACTGAAACTGAAACCGAAACTGAACCTGTTTTTAGGGCCTGATTTGGCAGCCTTCTTCTGGCCTCTTCGGGTCTCTTGGCCCTGTTGTCCGGGGTCTAAAGGTCCAACTAACTGTTGCTGCTTGATTTGACATTTGGCGTCAGTGGGCCATAATTGTCTAGAATTTATGTGTTGTACCTTCTTTCTCGTTAATTTGTTGGACTTTTCATGCATGTGGGTAGCAGCCAAGATCCTGAGAATCTCGATTTTTCTTCGTTTCTTTTTTTTTTTAATTAGTTGTTTGGATTAATATATACAGATTAATGGGCTGGTTAAGGATAGTTAAGAGAGAGACAATTACTGGTGAGCAAGACAAAAGACACATGGATGTGTGAGTAAATAGTTGTTGTTGCTGCTGTTGTTGTTTTTCTTTTTTTTATTTTTTGGAAAATTTCAAAATGAAAATTCTTGAAATACACGAAATGAAAGAAATTAATTAAATTAAACAAAAAAAGAGGCAGTGGAAAAAAATGAAAAGTATGCGGCTAGTATGAATAATTGGCACGCTGGCTATTGAAAAGGGGTTATAAATGAAGGTGGCTTAAGGGGGGTAAAGGGGGCTTTAAGAGGGTATACACAGGGCTTGGGGGTGCATGCCGCAAATAAATGGCAAGCGCCTCATTTTGAGGCCACAGCTGTCAAAGCGCGGACAAAGGAACAATGCCCGCTGTTCGGGGCTTAAAGTCGCCCCTGATTGAGTGAAGTGAGGTATGCGAGAGAGAAGTGTGGAGTGAGAGAGGGGAAAGAGGAATGGAGCCTATATCCCATAACCCACAATCCCAGAGAGATGAAGGTCTTGGAACGCGAGTGTCCAGTGTCCAGTGTCCCGTACCCATATCAATTACTTAAAGCTCATTCACAACATTTTTTATTTTCACCTGACAAAAGCCCAAATGGCATCCAATCAATTCCCTGGCCAAGTTGCAGTGGCAACGAGACACAAAAGCCACAACACATGTTCTTGCGCCCGAAAAACTTATCGCCAGCGATGCGATAAACGATAAATAAATACAGGCAACAAGATGCTGCCGGGACTAACGAAGGCAGACAATGTTTTTTTTCTTCTCCTTTTTAACTTCTTTATTTTTCTCCTCTTTTTTTTTATTCTCCTGGTTAGTTAAGGCCAGTTAAAAGGAAGTTAAGCAGAAAAAAATACTGTCGCCAGAGTCGAGAGAATGAAATAAAATAAAATCTGCAAGCGTTTTGTCAGGCGACTTCTCTCAGGTTGATTTTATTTTTTTCTTAACTGAGTTGCTTCCTCATTTGCGACTGTTATACAGTCATGATTATATGGCTCATACGGGTACGTGTCTATTTGCATTTGGTGGGTGCAGCGCCGCAAGGCAAGGTGTGCTCTTTGTGTTGTAACAAACAAACAAACGAACGAACGAACAATTGCATTGGTGCGAAAAGTGCGCGGCAAGTGCCTAACAATTTGCCCTTAACAGAGGTTAGACGTCGTCAACAGATGCCGTTGCTGCTGTGCCACAACCTGGCTCATGTGGCAAAGGTTGCTGTTGGACATTTTGTACTAAAGTTTGTTAGCTTACTGATGGGTTTAACTATATTACAAACTCCTTATAAAAGTTAGTATACAAACTAAATGTGGCTTAGAAATGCTTGCCTCACATCTTTCTTCCTTAACAGAAATTTTATTGCAGGACAACAGAGTTTTTGCTCTGACTAAGTATGGCCACTATAACTAATACTGCTGCTGTGACTAATTTTGCTGTTGCTGTGTTTGCCTTTGCCTTTGCCAGCTGGTTTTGTTGCTTGTTTTTGGGGGTTGGCTGTGGCAGTAGAACGACCCTCACGCATGGGCCCAAGTGGCAGCTATAAAGATGTCGTTGTTGTTGCTGTCGTTGTTGTTGCTGTTGCTGCTGCTGTCGGGCCATGCAAAAACGCAACGCTAAAGCAGGTGCAGCAGCCTGCAACTTCCGCAGCGAATGCGAATGAATGTGTGCTCGTAAGCGCTTGTTTGTGTGGTGGGTCTTTTCAAACAGCAGCAGCAGTGGCAGCAGCAACAGCAGCAGCAGCAACATGAAGTAATTAACAACCACAACAGCAGCAGAAGCAGCAGCAACATCATGAGCCAGTGGAGCCAAGCAAAGCGTTGACAATAGCATTGAAGTTGTTGCCGCAAATGCAGCTATTGTTGTTGCCGTTGTTGTCATTGTAATGTGCTGATTTCATGGCAAGCGAATACACCGCGTATACGCAACGTAGGAAGAGAAGGGGTAGTAGGGCGTAAGAGGAAGGCAAAGCCCTTGCCCTGGGATCTTTCTGCATATTTTTACGCGGCCAGCGAAGGCAGGAAACATGCTCAAGTGGCGGGAATGTGGCCAGCATGCTGCTCCCGAGCACATGTCAAGTGCGGCACTAGGATGGAGGTTTTTTGAGGGCAGGAGTTAAGTGATGAAGAGTTCGGACTCGGTCTTCCCACGTGAGCGTGTGAAAGAGCAATGGCAATCAAAGTAAAAGCGTATGGGAGGTGGTTGGGATTTGTGGGGGGTTTTTCAAAAATTATAATCTACAAACTAAAGTGAGAACTAAACAATAAGTGGTTCACTTTGAGACTGCCAACAGGGGTTATCTGTGGTTTATCAATGCATTTTGTTAGGAATGAAATTAAAATAAGTAATTATTAGTAATTATTAACCCTCTGTAGGCAGTCTCATTGCACACAACACTGACGTAAACATAATAGAAATGGTTAAACAATCGATGGCGAGTAACAATGATTATTCACCCACACCGAGATCGCATAATGTCTATAAGCTTTTGTCTTGCTTACCGGCACTTGTCCGCGGCTTGGTCCGCACGGGCTTAACATCCAGACCTCCGCTGCCCGCATTGCTCCCGGCTCCGCTGTGACCACTCAGCGATCCAGCTCCGACGCTATTGCCACTCATGCTGCCCATGCCGGCGGTACCGCCGCCCACCGAACCACCCAAACCATGCATGCCCGCAGAGGAACCACCATGATGGTGTCCACTGTGATGATGATGATGGTGGTGATGCGCCTGCGCCGCGGCCATACTGTGACGCACTGCAGCCGCTGCCACCGAGGAACTTTGGAACATATTCGCTGCCGCCACAGCGGCTGCCTGATGATGCGCCGCCGCATGATGATAGGAGGCATAACTGCTGGTGTCATAACCACCGCTGCCGCTACCACCACCACCACCGCCTCCGCCACTCCCACCGCTGCTGTACGCCTGCGCCGTTCCATCGAACAGACCGTTCGAGGATGTGGCTGCGGAGGCGGCTGCTGCGGCGGCGGACAAAGAAGCTGCTGCGGCGGAGGACGAGGCGGATGTGTTGCTGCTGGCATTGGTGTTGCTATTGCTGCTGTTATGTTGCTGCTGCTGCTGTTGCTGCTGCTGCTGTTGTTGCTGCTGCTGCTGCTGCTGCTGTTGACTACTGCTGGAGTTGGAGCTGGAATTAGTGGTGCTGGTTGTACCTTCTCGCTGCTTGGGTGTCGATGTGTGGGTGGTGCCGCTGCCGGAGGATCCACTCGCACTTCCGTTCTGGATCGACGGCTTGATGTCCAGCGCACAGCTGGCGTCCGTCAGTGAGGTAGAGCCCGTGGCCTGTTGGTGCATAAACGCGTTCATCACGGCCTGGAAGAAGAGATTGGGGATGCTTGTTAGTCTAGAAGGTGGTTCCTACTCCTACTAAACCTGAAAGCTCATTAAACTTGAAAATGCTGGCACATGGCAGATAATTTAAGTTAAGTCTTGATTTTATGATCTTAATTTGTATGCAAAGCTAAAACTTCATTGAAACAATTTATTTGAATTTTTAGTAGACAATTTAAGTCATTAACTATTGATAAAAAGTAATCCCCAAAAACTTAACTTTTCGAAATAATCGATAATAATTCGGTTTTGCCTCCTAACAATCGAAGGAACCCTAAGATGAACCAACACTCACCTGGTACTCGGATGGACCGGTTTGCACGGAATCGGGCGTGGAATCCTTTGGCGGCGTCGGCGGGAAGGGGAACGAGTGCTGGCCGGCGGCCGTCGTCTGATGGCTCTGACCCATCTGGCCCAGCTTGTGCTCCACCTGCGGCTCCTGCGGGCAGGCAAACTGGCCCATGCTCCAGGCGCTGGCGGGGGCGAAGGACTTGTGCTCGCTGGTCAGCCATGGACTCAGCGGGGTGTGGAAGTGCGGCCGGCACACTTGGGGCGAGGCATGGGTGGAGGGCATGCGGGATGCTAAAAAAAAGAAAGAAAAAAACAAAGTTAAGAATTTAATAAACTCTCGCTGTGAGTCGCATCAACTTAAATGCTGCATTAAATCAATTATGGCCCAAATTTATAACGAAGATTAACCGACTAAGCCGCGACCAGAAGCGATCAAAATTCGTAATAAATGACGTTGTTTTTTTCTGATTTTTTTTTTTTTGGTTTCTTCTTATTATTATTAAGTATTTTTTTTGATTTTTTCCTCTGTTGGCTGCCGCGCAAATTTGCGGAAAAGCTGCGTTATAATTTATGAAACACCAGCCAGAAGAGAGCGAAAAAGAGCCGCCGCCTCAGAACCTCTGACCACCAGTGCACCGCTCAAGCCATGGTGGAACCACCATTCATTTTGCTTGCGGCCTTCTGGGGCCAACTAACTTTGCATATGGCCAAGACCAAGAGCAGGAGCAGGAGCAGGAGGGGGATAAAGGAGCTGGACTGGACTGGACTGGGACTTCTGCATTGTCATAAATTGTTTAATTTGTATCATAAACAATCGCGTTAAACTTTTGTCCCAGAGCTAAAAAGATCGATCAACGGCTCGGGTCTGGCTCACCTCGGCTTTTCGGCCGGGCTAAAAGTGTAGCCTAAATGTCTGGCAGTGTATAATTTAGCAGACACCAAGTGAGATTTATGTGCGCCAATGCTGCCGGTTACTCCATCGATCCGATCTGATCCAGCCTATCCTATCCAGCCCATACTATCCACCAGCTACGATCGACGGACTGGGATCGGATCGGACAGATCCCCATATCCTCGCGCAGCGGGTGTTTCGTATTTGTGGGTAAAGGAAGAAAGGGGTCACGGGGGGCAGGCACGTTGCAATTGTTTGGGGCGCACTTATTCTTATTATTATCATTAATATTGGCTGCAGCTCCCCAAAGAGTCGCAAGTTGCTGGCCCTCGGGGCTTGTTTGTATGTGAAATTATTTTTGATTATGCAGCAGCAGCAGCAGCAGCAGCAGCAGCGGCAGCAGCAGCAACAGCAACAGCTACGGCTACGGCAGCAACATCAGCAGTCGAAGCTGGTTGGCCAACAGTAGGTCAGTTCATTGCACGCCAAGATGGATTAGGCCAAATCAAGACAAGAGTCCAAAAGGAGCTTGGGAGAGGAGTGTTGGAAGAATTCGGAATGCTCTAATTTTGGGATTTGAAAGATTAGTTGAGTTAGGAAACTTCCCTGAATGGCTTAATGATAAGGAAAGTTTCTGATCTTTCATTTTTAATTACTGAAATTACAACTTTTAAAATGCCACATAAAACCCCTATTATTAAACTTTATTACCTAAAATCTTTCCCCTGATTACTTCATCTTACTCCCAATCATTTTTCCACCTCAAATAAGGGTATCCAAACATCAGTAGAATGAAGAAAACCCAAACGACGATCGATGGATGGTTGGATCGCTGCCTTGGCTGGATCGCTGGCTGCGATAATATCCATTTGATTATCCTAATAACAGTGCTTTAGTGGCGATATTATATGTACGTGTGTCTGATTATAGAAATTAGCTGCAGCAGCAGCAGGAGCAGGAGCAGGAGCAGCATCAGAAGTAGCATCAGAAGCAGGGGCATCACCATAGCAACATGAACCCTGATCTTGGTTAGACTTCTCCCAGTGCAATGCCTCAATCAAAATGTGGTTATTGCTTTTCCCGATCTCCTGTGCAGACTTCACACTTTTGCGCCGACAACGACACAAGTCGATGAATCCCCGCCCGTCTCATATGAAGTCGTCATCGGATCGACAGTGTATATAATTTTGTTGAGATCGAGGGAAATAATACCATTGGTCATGCTAAATTATATAGTCGGATGGTTGGATCTTTCAGCCCATTGCCAAATCAATGTCCGATGCGTTCTTTAATTGGCGTGGCGAAACTTTCAATTTGCCAAACCGATGGTGTTGGCGATATCGCCGGGCTGTTAATGTTTATCCCAGAAAGATATATATATATGTATATATAAGCGAGTATGTATGACTCACTTACTTGTTTTTTAGTCGCTGTTATTGTTGTTGTACTGTGCCTGGTCGTATAAAACAATTCGCTAATAAATCAAGCTGAGTACACAGCAATTAAAGTTGCAAACTTGAAACAAAAAGAACGACATTTTTTGTGTGGCCGTTGATGTTATTGTTGTTGTTGCTCTGGCGGTATGCAAAGCTCGTGCTGGTGGAAAAACGCTGCCCTTGGTCGTCTCCAGGCCAAAAAAAAAAAAAAAAATAAACAACCAGCCCGGCCAGCCAGGCTGACACGTTCTACACAGCAACAAGAAAAACAAAAACAACATTTTGAAGCTTTTGGCCTGCGCTTGATTTCTTCAAACTGACAGATCAAAGCCCCAAAAAGCCGCCGCTCTCTTTTTAGCCCCGTTCTCTTCGCTCTTTTTCGGACATTTCTATGGCGTTTTAAAAGCGTTTGACAGCGCTCAACGCTCTCAGCGCCTGTCCATCTAAGCCGAGATCGAATACGAAATCCAAAAACCGAAAACCCGGCTTAAAGCGCCTTTTAATTGCAATCGAAGCTGACGCTTGACGACGACGACGACGTGAATGACATAATTAATGTATATACGTAGGCCAGGTCTAAATGCACTTAGCCGGACGTGTTGGACATCTGAAGATGACAGCCAAAACAGGTGAAGCACCACGAGAAATCAGAGAAAAAGCCAGAGAAGAGGAGAAAACCAGCAGAGATGAAATGGCTTCAATTAGTTAAATGCATCAGCTGCCGGGGCCAGTTATCATTTTCGGCCATCGAAGCATTTGAATTTCCATGTGAAAGGATAACAAAAGCCAGCCGGGGTAGTGTGTCCTGCCCATCTTGATAAGGAAAAAGGATTTTCATTCTCTTTGGTAAATTAAATTCACACCAAAACAGGCTAAAGGATTGGTTTTTAGGGGTGTTAGATGCTGGGCCATCTTATCAATCGATGGAAATCAAATCCGCAAATGAGTGAAATGAGAGACAGTCCTCTCTCTTTAACCGTTTTTCCAAGGAACTTCTGAGCTGGCGGTCGATTAGTGGATTTTCACCGTTTCATTCGTTGATTCGGTCGATTCAGCTGATTCAGCTGCTTCCTGCCAGCCAAGAGCCAACAACAATCAATCATCCGAACGGCGAAAGGACGACGAGGCAATCCTGCTCAGCTCAGTTCAGCTCCTTGATGACCCCTCGATGGCTCGATGTCTGCAGGCGGTGGCTTAATTTATGGCCAGCGTTACCCCTCCTCAATACGAAACAAGGACTTTTCTTTTCACCTGCTCAACGGGGCGATTTGATGTCGATGTTGCTGTTGTAGGCGCGTGGCTCCAAAATGCGGTCAAGTGTCTCTCTCTCTCTGTGTTACACCTGCTCCAAAATTGGAAATTGTTTAAGCATGCAGCAGCGGCAGCAACAACAAGCGGCAGCCAGCAACGGGCCATAAACTATAACGGATTCCAGTTTGAGCCACCACCAGCCAGCAAGCCAGCTAGCCAGGGAGATGGAGAGCTCAGCAGGTAGGTCAGTTTTAGCTGCTCGAAGACACCTTGATAGTTATAGATATACACTGGGAAAATATATACTGACTTTTTGGATCAGAAATGTGGGGAAAACGTGATAGTCCTTTACACTCTTGGGAAAGTAAGTAGTGTAAACATAGAAACTATGACCTTTTTTGGATAATTGGAGATACCCTTCATAGTCTAGCCTAGTCATTTCTCTCAGTGCCCCTCCAACAGTAGCCAAAGTTGAAGCTAAAACTGAAATTGAAGCTGAAACTTGGCTCCCTTGACTGCTTAGCATTTTGCGCGCTTGTTTGTTTTAATTATTTCTTTGCTTTCTGCAGTTGCGTGACTTCGACTGACTGACTGAGTAACTGACTGATTGTAAGATTGCCCGAAGGAGTGAATGACTGACTGACGGAATGACTGCCTGCCTGACTGACTGACAGAGGCAGGCTGCACATTATTAAGCGCAAACTGCACTGCCGCTGCCATCTATATTATTAACACTTTATTTGCAGCCCCCGGATCAGCGTTGCATGCCAGCTTATCATTAGTCATAAGTTGTCAATTGTATTTATGATAATGCGTTTAATAACTCAAGTAGCTGGAGCAGCAGCAGCAGCAGCAGCAGCAGTGGCAGTGGCACTCTTGTAAGTTATGCCATTGCACAACGCACCGCCCTGGAAAGTACATACATATTTTTAAGGAATTCTCTGGGTTATTAATTGCTTTATAATTGACGTATTACCAGGGCAGAGCTGCTGCGGGAATTTCTCTCTTTTTACTCCTCAAAAAACAGCATAAAAAAACAATGAGAGCTAACCAGTTAACCAGCTTGTTTGGGCCAACGTGTGAATTACGTGGCCTGTCCCAGCTTTTGCATACGTGCCACAATGTGGTTGCCACAAAAACGTACAACAAAACTAGCAGCAGGAAAATGGGAAAACACGTTGACAACAACAAACGCGGCAATGGGCGTTTGGGCTGGGTCTGAAGTGCGCCATTTTTGTGGCCATTTGCAGTTGGTGGTGGGTGAATAAAAAGGTAGAAAAAAAAGTGTATAAAAAAATGCTAATAATGCGGCTGCAGCGGCACAAAAAGGCGCGTGCATTGAACTGGAATCCTGGCCACGCAATGCCAACTTTAACTGCAACTTATGCAAATGCAACGGCAGCAGCAGCAGCAGCAGCCTGTCACTCAGCTTACAAAGTCAGCAAGTCAGTCAAACTGGCTGACAGTCTTGCCTGCTTTTTGTTTTATGCCCGCCTTTTGGCTAATGAGCGAACACCCCAAAGCTGGCCAAAAAGGATTCGCCGATCCTCCTGTCCTTTCCTGCCTTCAGAAAATACCTGCGGGCGCACTTATGACAGTTCGAAGCGTCAGTGAAATCATTAAAATTGACAAGTTTTTATATGACAAAACCAAATTTGGTCAATCAAAGGGCAGAGACGAGCGACGACACACAGAGCAGAGAGCGTTTGAAG